AAATCTATCTGAATTTTGTGCAAAATTAACTCAAATTTTTAGTTTTTAATGGCATTTTCCGGTTTTGGGCAACTAATTGAGTTCTGAGAGCTTTTGCATAATTTTGATTTTTGATATTTTTTCTTTTCATTAAAATTAGTTTTTTTTCTATATGGAATCAAGTTAAATTTTTTCAAATGGTGCTGTAGTAACACTCATTCTTAAGATGACACATCTCAGAAGTTCGATTGCAGCCGCGACCTGTTCTTTGTTGTGGAAATCGAAAGTTTTACTATCGTGTCTGCTAATTTTTGTTGGTTTGTGTCACGGAGAAAGGTTCAGTTTCTTTGTGCAATTTTGAATATTCTTCGTAAAGTTTCAAATGGTGCACTTGTTTTTTCCGGGAAATTCTCGTCCTTTTTGCTTTTTTTTACAAAAAAAACGTTTTTTTTTTCAATTTCGCCTTTTTAGCTGTTCATCATAGTCGTTCATGTTTGTATCGCAAGTTTTGGGAAGCTCCGCTTCGCTTCTGTGTATATATATTTTTTCAGACTGCAAAGTTTCACTGAAAGTGTTTTTTTGTGTCAGTTCTTCTCCATTCATTTCAACTGGCAGTACTTTTGACATTCTAAACTAACTGAGTTCTTAAAACTTATTCTGATTTTTTCCATGGTGTTTAAATTGTTCTATTGAGACCTTCCTCCAGCTTTTTTGACCATTTGTCTCTGGCTGCTAATCTAATTGAATTGATGACAAAGTAGGTGTCGGTGTATACCAGGGTTCTGCTGTTCTCTCTCTCTCTCACTCGCTCACTCACTCTCTCTCTCTCCGTCCACTTCTCTTCATCCTCGTCCTAGAAGCCCTCTTACATCGATTCAATCAACGTAAAGGCGTGCCTTGGGAGTTTGTATGCGGATGACTTAGTATCAATAGATGATACGCTTGATCTTCGCTTAACAGCGATTCAATGCTTAAAAAAATACGAAAATTCTGATCGCAGACATCAGTCTTTGTTCTCCTCGAATACCCTTTTGTCGTCTGCGGTAAAGGTTTTGGGAGCAAATCTTTTTCTCGCTCTCAGTGCAAATTTTGGGTTCACAAAAAGGCTGCGGATTATCAGGTCGGCTGGTAGCCAAACCAGAATATGTTTGCCCCAGATGCACTGGAGTGACGCGGGCTATCGGAGGTCGCTTTTCAAATATGGTTGACGTATTCGGCGCTACGCTCGATGCTGAGCAAAGTTTTTTAACTGGGTAGTAATTTCATTGATGGTGGGTGCTCTGATAAGGCAATTGATGCCCGGTTTTGCTCGGCCTGGATTTGATTCAGGAAAAAGCTTCATTTTAACATCGAGGCACCTTTGATTTAGAACAGGTGGAAATATGGCTCAGATGCACTTAATAACCTCGGTCTGTGTGACATTATGAACGTCCTCAGAAGCAGACGCCTCAGATGATTCGAAAATGTTGAGCGCGCTCCTTTTGTTTCATGCATCAAAATTGACGTAAAAATGTCAGTTTTTCCATCAAAATACATGGGAGACCAAGAAAGACTTGCTTAGATTGCGTGAAAATTATATCAAGGAACGTTGCCTGACTCACACTGACCAGCGAGACCCTGTATCACAGAAAGCTGCAGTTCGACATGGCCTGGTGCTGCCAACACAGTCTGATGGGAGAAAAACAGCACCTTAATCAAATACCAGAGATGATGATGATGATGACATTGACAGAAGGACGATGCAGAAGGAAGGGGTGAATAGTTTTGAGATCAGAAGGCAACTAGGAATAACATCAATTCGACAGAAGATGGAAACACGGGCACTGGAGAGGATAGGACACGTGACGAGGATGCCGGACACAAGAACAGTAAAGAAAATCACTCTGGGCAACTGGACGGAAGTAGGCGAAAGACCAAAGAATGGGAAGAACGATACTATAACGTATTGGAAAAGAATTTTAAAAGAGGCAGAGTTAGATTGGACTAACATCGAAGGTCTAACAATGGACAGAAAAAATTGGAAGGGTATTGTGAACGAGAGGAAGAAGGCCATGGATGAATGGGAGAACAAGATGTGCGAAATACACAAAGGGGATCTGAAACCAACCAGAAGCCAAGCCGGTAAACCAGTCACGGAGGAAGGGTTCAAATGTCGTTGGCCACCATGCGAAAAGACATGCCGAACAAAGGTGGGACGAGACCATCATGAAACACGAATCCACAAGCGCAATGAACTAATATTTGAATGTGGAAAATGTCACACAACTTTCGAACAAAAAGCACAAAGAACGAACCACGCCAAGCAATGTGGAGGGGCCCCAAGAGGGACGTGCCCGGACTGTGGGAAAGAACTTAGCACGACGAACATGGCGAGACATAGAAGAACCTACTGTTTGAGAAGACATGACACAATGACTCTTAGAAGCGCGAGCACACTAGCCAGGACCACATGCCCGGACTGCGGGATCCCCATCACAAAAACAAATGTAGCAAGACATAGGAACACTGCGTGTCCGGGGAGTGGCAGTCGAGACCCCCAGGGGTTGTAAACGACATACAAGACAACGACATACAAAGTCGTTCTTTTCTTCAACCTTGCAAGACAACTGTGGTGATACACTAGAATCATACAAATGTTCTTTGCAACGCGTGCTGGGCTCCACGCACAATATTTGCCTTAACAGAATTATTTGCTTGCTCATTAGGCGTGAAGAGGTTCAATTTTATCTTAATCAAAGTGCGAATAACCGTATCAAGTCCATTATCACAATCAGAAAGAACTGTTAGTTATTTCGAAAGATGAAAGAATGTGCCACCAGTGAAGCATTCGTAACTCACAGGATACCAAATTGATCTTTTTTTATAACTATCTATTTTGTTTGTGTAACGAAAGATGAAAAAGATGGTTAATCAAATTCAAATAACTTAAATTCAAAAAGAAGAGGCAACAAGCATCAATCAATGCACCAAAATTAAAATCCGTTCAATGAACAAAGTTTACATAATTAAATCTTCTTTAGCAGGGTGTTTTTGAACCAAATCTTGCCGTACTGATTGCCACCTCGGATAGCAATGTCAACCGTTCCATTTGTATTCTCTGCAGTACATTCCACCATTTCTTCAAACATCTCCTTGAGATTTTTCGGTTTTTTTACTACGTGATCTTTTTCTATTTATCTGCGCCCTCGTTTGTTCCTTGTTTAGCATGCAATTTTCCTCAGATTTGAAAATATGCGAAGCAGGTAGTCTGTTATACGTTTTTTTTTCGTTCCCTTCATCGAACCTCATAGGCTCGTAAATGAATCTTTTTGCTACTCGTTTCGACACCCTGTGTTAAAGTATTTGTTTGAGAAACTCGATAAGTTTGATAGTTTGAGCCTGAAAATTCTATTTATATTCAACTGTTATGATGTTTGTTGTCATGGTCGTCTAATATTTGATCATTTAAACATTTTAAGGGATCATCATTTGACCAATTATTCTTTCTCTTTTAATTATTCTTTCTCTTTTAAAAGAGGCTTTTTTTGGTATTACAAGAAATTTCAAAGCAATTTGCACAATTGTCAGAAAATCCCATCTATCTTGAATCGTTGGTCTCGGAAATCAGTTTCGGTTCCGTTTTGCCCTATAAACACCTGGAATAATTATAACAATAATTAAAAAGTATTTTAATTACCGTTGAAAAACCCTTGTAGAAAATTCCAACCGTACAACTTTCATTAAGATCAAATGAATTTTCATGACGGAAGAATGGTAGCCATACAATCCTTAATATGAAAATTGTATGACTAGCATTTTTCATGGAAGAATTGTACGAAATTGTATGAAATTGTATGACGAGCATTTCCGTTGGATGGAGGTCAACCCGGGTAAAGTTAAGCGCTCAATCTGCACAAAATAAATAGGTAGCACAAATTAAAGAACTAAAATAATTTCGACCAGTAACAAAAACAATTTTGAATATTGTTGCAATTGTCACCTGGAGGAATTTGTGCCGTAAGCAAAATCGAATAATAAAATTGATGACTTTTCAGCCAATTTCGACAAAGGGAATAATTTGATTAGTGTTTATTACCAATCTTTTTTTTTAAATTGATTTTCACTGACCAGTTTGAGTTAGTTGGGGAAGTTTTTTCCCTCGCATTCGTTGAAATGAGTAGAAAGGAAATAAATGCAATAAAATTGACACAGCTTATGCGTGAAATCGAATGCGAAACGATGGAAGTTTGAGTATTTTTTAAATATTGTTTTGAGTTAGTTTTCGGCCGCTTTTTTATTGGTTTCATTTTTAGGAATTGTGAGACCAATAAAATACGTGTAACGAAGAGTGAAAGTGTTTTCTGTGAGTTGTTTTGTCCATTTGTTTTAACTGCGATCAGTAACTGTGATGAATTGAAAGACAAGTTTTTAGTTTTCAATTAAATTGAATATATTGATGAATAACAATTCAATGTTTTACTTTTCTTTTTCTATTTATTTGAGATCTTGTTCGAATCGATTTAGAGAAAATACGAATTTTTCATATGATAACTTTGAGGAGAAAATATATCACCTTACTAACAAGATTAAATTATCGGAACATAAATAAAATGTCGATTCAGTTGATTTTGTCTATCAAAATACAAAATTGAATGAACAATTTCGAAACGATTGTTTTGAGCAATTGTATGAAATGCATATGAATCAATTTTCTAAATTAAAACATGCTTGGGGAGGGCATTCTAATTATACGGTAGGCCACGAAGGGGGGAGGGGAGTTGTACGGTTGATCTTTATCGTGTTTTATTTCAAAATATGAGTTTCAACACCTCCCCCTTTACTGCACATACTTTTGGCATTCAGTTATACAATTTAGCTCCAAATATTTTCTTCGACCCCATCTTTTATTCGACAATAATAACATGAAAAATTACTGTGAAAGCAGAAATTTCGCAGTGTGGGGGTAGAGTGAAAAAGGCCGGTTTTCGAAGTACCTCTAGGAACTTTGTGGTCATTTTAATTATTTATGTGATTTCAGATGAGTGAAATGTCTACATCAGGGGCGGGAGATTCGCATGATCAGTCCTCCAAATCATCTTCTGACGTCATTTTTGCACCCCTGGGGTCAGATGAAATTGCGGATAATGTGACTTGCATTGAGAGCTTGTGTATGAGTTGTCACGAGCAAGGAGAGACTAAGTTGTTGCTGACTAAGATTCCATTTTACAAGGACGTTGTGGTTTCTTCATTCCGATGTGATTTGTGTCATTACTCGAACACGAATATTCAAAGCTGTGAGCCGATCCAAAATAGAGGTAGCTGTAAGCTGCTAATTAACTTCGGCTCTTAACCATTACAGCCCCCTTCGTAATACAAAATCGTATAGCGGTGTTGCTATATTTTGTTTGTTACTGGACTGGAGGCTATTATTGGAAATTGGTAGCTTTTTGAAAAACGATAATTCTTCGCAGAGAATTTTGCCATAAAAAAAGAACAAAAAACAGATAAGTAATTGAAGCAAATTGAGTTAGCAATACACATCACCCCAACTACCATACCCTTAGCGTGCCCGGGAGTCGATGTGGATTGTTTCGTGGAATTAAAGTAATGAGTCTTAAGGAAATTGCTTTGCGATTTAGTTGTTTTTTAAACATTTACGAATTGGTAACTGCAGCGAATTGTGCTATGCCCATGTCAAGATCGATGAGGGTTACTGCTCTCTTAACTAGATCGTTTTACTTTGGGCACGAGTATTTTACTTACCGGTTAATAATTTTGCGTTCTTGAATCAACCATATCCATTTCTGAAACTCAATTATGAGTAATGAACGTAGTGAAGACTCTTATATAGGTCTTGGTGATTTTTTTTCAGGAATGGTCTTAAAATGATCTTATGATACGGATATGCATTCAAACGAAACTGAAAGTGACGTAAATAGCATTCTACAAATACGAAAGTGAAAATGGCGCAAAAAAAAACGTGTTAGTTTCGGAAAAGAAATTAAATTTTAGATGTTGATCCAGTTTTTTCAAGATGTTGATTCATTGGCTATGTTTGTAATATTTTAAACTGCATATGACATTTAACTTAAGGTCAGATCTGGTATTTTTTTCCAGGGAAACGAGTTTTCAAAACCAATTCAAAAAAATGTCGATCCTTCTTTAGTTTGACTCAATTGAATTTTAAAAGCTTTTCACCTGTTCAATAAAGATATAAGCAGAATTTGTTAATGGTTGACTGCAAATACAAGCTCACTTTCAGCACAGATAAATCTGTTTTGTAAGTTTTAAAACTACATCCAGTGCTTCTAGGATAAATATTTCTCTCAATGAAATTGATGTTCGTCTTGAACCATGCTCGCATCCTTGGGTGTACTGTTGACTCCAAGCTGTCTGTCTTCTTTCATGTACTGAAGCTTAAGTCAAAATTAAAACAATTTTGAGTTGTTACTGATGTGCGGCGTTTTGTTTCCATTGAAGTTCTTATTAAATATTATTTCAGTAATATCCAACCTATTATTCAATATGTTTGCTTTTGTATGGTTGCATTTGCTAAGCAAATTTAGTTAGGATTTTTTGATCCAAAAGAGTGGCTTACTCAAATCGAAAATTTGACAGCTCTAGGAGTTTTTTCTCTTCAAACAAAATATTGACAGTACATGGACTATTTGTGTATAATCTCGTCGATTTCTGTCCAAGATCCTTTAATGAACTCAATTATGGAGTATTTGATCAATTTTTTCATTTAAAAGCCAAGAGCTTTTTAACAAGAAGTGTAGCATGGGTCAATTTCACTAACCCGTTATGAAATATTAAGTTGAAGCGAAATTCAATACTCAGTTACAAATAGAGGATACAAGTTGCTAAATCTATTGAGCGAAAATCATGTTTTGCCTGAAAATTCTTTAAAAATGAGCAAAGATGCGGTTATTTGCTTCGCGCATCGACTTAAAGGCACAGATAATCTTAAAAATCTGAATTTAGTGCGTACCATTTTTTCTTTTTGAGGTGGTCCAAGGTTTCGTTTTAATAAGGATCAAAAATATTAGATTTTTTTAAATTGTATGTACGCCTTGATATGTATTTAAAGATTTATTTTATTTATGAAATTTCATTATGTTTTTTTAATGCTAATATACAGGAAAATTGTTTGCGATCCAACTCTCAAATCATGATGCTGAATTGTTCTAGTTTCCGAGATATTGCGATTTTTCAAAACAAAAGTAAGTTTTCAAAAACTTCAATTTCGTAATTATCAAGTACGTGTTTTTTTAAATATTATCTGAGCTGCACTTCCATGAAACAAAGCCCGAAAATGTTTTCTGAATAAGCAATGAATTATTGAATTCTGAAACCTTGCAGAAAAAGAGGAATCTTAAAAAGAGGAAACGATTTATTCTCATGAGGGCACAGAGGTTTCATGCTGTTAAAGCAAGTTCCTTGGCAGGCAATTTTCATCTTTAAAACTTATTAGCTAATTTAAATATTTTGTTGTTTTTTTGTTATTTAATATTACTATAATTAATTTGGAACATATTTATTTTGAAGGCGCGTTTGTTTTCTCAAAGGCAGACTCATATAGGACATTTCTGATGCCCTTTGTCTGTCCTCTCTAAGTTTGCAGTAAATTCAATAATTTATTGATTCAAATTTACAAAAAATTTCATTCATTTCTATTTCTTGAGTTAGACCAAAGCAAAATTGATTTTGTTTGCAATTTTAAAGGAACATATTCTTCTTCTTCTTTGCGAGCTACCCCACAATTTTCTAAAGACCCTTTTTTGTAGACATTTTTCTGCGTCACAGGCAAAATATTGAAAAAACTGGCAAAAAATACCAATGCCATTGTTCGGCTTACTTTCAGGGGATAGAAATTTTTTCAGAGTATTATTTTCTTCTGACTATAGCCATTATCACTAATTGATAGCCAATGCTATGTTATGTGTTTATTTTATCACATGTGTTGCGAAGCTCGGTTTCGCATCTATGTTCATCTTAGTGAAATGCTGAACCAATTTAGTTTAAAATGTATCAAGTTTTAAGGTCAATTATTTTGCGATGCTGTTTTGTTTAATTTGCGGGTCATTTATTGTTGTGCAATGCTTAGGAGTGCGTTATGAGATAAAAGTGAAGCCTGGAGAAGATCTGAACAGACAAGTGGTGAAGGGCGAGTTCGCCACTATCTCAATTCCCAAACTGGAGCTGGAGATTCCGAAGGAGTCACAGCCGGGATCCATCAACACAATCGAAGGCATGCTTCCAATCTTTTTATTCTTTTTATTATTTTGTTATTATCAAGCGTTATAAAATTGAGATGTATCCTTTTTTCTGGTTAACAACTTGATTTTTTAATTTGATTGTTTTTTTAATTTCAATTTTGTACTTCAAAGCTTTTATATGGCCCCAATTGTTTCGACGTATTGACCTAATTTTGCGTCGTTGAATTTGCGTTCAGTGACCTTCGTGTTTTCGGATGGCTGGGGGGGGGGGGGGGGTAAAACTTCTTTTTGGTCCACCCTTTCATTTATTTTTAGCTTCCCTTTTATATTTTAGTTGCCTGCTCAAATTCAAAATTCGCTGTTGTTTGCGACTGACTCTTCTGTATGTTTGTTTGTTGTTTCGAGTGGTAGAGTTGTTTGCAGGAATTATTCAAAGAGTGATAGATGGTCTGACTCAAGACCAACAGACTCGCTCTGAAGTTGATCCCGAAGGATTCCTCAAGGTCAGTCAGTTCATCACTAGACTGGTGGATCTGAAGGAAGACGAAACTGGCTTCGAGATCATTATGGATGATCCGTCTGGCAACAGTTTCGTGGAGAACCCTTTCGCGCCCAACAAAGACGAGCGAGGAAGTGTGAGTCACTACATCAGGTATTGAGTTTAAGTTGGATGCTTCAGAATTTTCAGAAAACTTGATTTTGCGGCTACTTCAAAATTTTCAGAAAACTTGCGTTTTTTTTCGGATGGTAAAAGTTTTAAAAAAAAATACTTCTGGCGTGCGTTTCGAACGTAAGTATATTGTATATTGGCGTCCAATGTGCCCTTAAGAACCTTTAAGATTCGATTCCAAATATCGATTACGTCAAATCTCGATCAATTAAATAGCACAAGACTGCTCGTATCAGTGCGAACCCCGAAATATCCTCACTTCCATTTAAGATATTAGCAGTTATTTTTTTTAAATCAAACGCTAACGCAATGTCAAATACATTATTTGCTTATTTAGTACTTCTTTTTGTTAGGCAAGGAAAGTTCTCTTAAGAAATTTTAATTTTATTGTGCAAAAAAAGTTATAAAATTTTCTTCATTTTTGTTTGTTTTTCATGTTTTGAAGACACCTGTTGTTGATTTTGCCTAATCCACTATTTTTTTACGCGTTTGTTTAGTTCTCTTATCTAACCACCCACCAAAACCGCACTAATTTGAAAAAAGTTCAAACTAGTTTTTTTGTGAATATCGTCGGAACATTCTGTGCCAATTGCTTAGCAAATGGCTATCCTTTTTGCAAATATTGATTAATTTTCGTTTTTTGTTATTTTTTACTTTTGCGAAGCCCTCGTGTGGGCGCCAATGTGACACAAACATGAAGTCAGTCAACATGCCATTGTTTTATTACGCTAGCGAACTATAGTGAGCGTGAGCGTTAGTGTAATGCTACGACTCTTTTTCTCTAACCTAAGTCGCAAATATTGGTGGCGTTTTTGGTGGCATCTTTACGGCATCCTCTGATAGCATGTGCTTTGACATTCGAATAGTAATAAATTAACACAGTTGATGCATTTTAGTTCATCAAATGAACCGAAAATAAAAACTATTTGTTTCGAACAACAACTAATAAAAGCTCGATTTCAGAAATTTTCTAACTCAATAAATCTCGCAATTTTTTGAAATGTCTTCTTTATACATAAGGTGGCTTTGTGCTTTCCAATTTATTATGAGCAAAATTAGTTTGGATGCTTTCAGTTTGTTATATTCCAAATTATTACTTGCAAAATTGTGTCTATTTGCATTTGGTGCCACTTTTGCTGAATGGCATTGGCAATTTGGTAGCATATGTAGCTGCTTTATTCGTGACTAATGTTTGTCAGTTGTTAAGCGTGCGTGGCTGAGGGGGTAGTGTGTGAGACTCAAAATTTCTTCATTGTAGTAGGTCGCAGATTCGAATCTTACACGTAGCCGGTGTTTTGCTAATTCGAGGCTTATTTCTACTTTTCCTTATTTCACTTGACAGAGCTGCATTTAGTCGTGGTCTCGCAATTGTTTGCAAAGCGCAGCTTCGCCTGTGCAAAATCTCATAAACCAATTTTTTTACCTGTTTTTAAACAATTAATCTATCTTTCTAACAATGTTTAAGAATCGATGAACGTACTTCAGACTCTTATAGGTTGTGATGATATTATAAGATATAGGTCGTATTAAAATTGGTTCAGGCTCACATTTACTTTTTCAGGCTCCCATACTGACTTTTGATTTCTTTTTTTTCAGTTCAGTTCATTTCCTTTGCTAGAAGGAAGGCAAACTCCATTATCGAACAGCAAAAGTGTTAAGGTCACGAAAAACATGATCGACTAATAGTTTCGAAACTGGAATTTTATTTGCAGTTTTCCCTGCAAAATGAAATAATTACTTGTTGATGAATTTTTCTCAAATTGGGTTAATTTTATCAAAAAGAATGTGATCATAAATTGTTCTAGAATTTCAAAGAGCTCTAAGGCCTTCTATTTTTGTCTTTGAAACTCGAAAGTTGAGATTTTTTTTACAAAATCAGTCAGTTTTTTTCCGTTTACTTGCGTTTAGTGACTATTTTCAAACTTCTGTTGGCTATGTTTGTTGTGTATCACAGCAAAAACCTCTCTGCAATTTTCTATTAAATCAGTGTGTTACTTCAGGTTATTTCAATTATGATTGACTAAAGCTTTTTCTAAAGTCTTTTTTTGCCGTTTTACAAACTAATAGTCTTGCTCTGTGACATTAAAACAATATACCGCTCATTGTTTTGTTGTCATCTTGTTTAAAGATTTTCGGAGTTTCTCCGAAACGCTTTCTAGAATTTTCCAGACTAAAGAGTGATTGAAAGTTCTTGCCTTAACGTCTCTTAAACATTGAGCTCGATGGTTGCTCTGAATGATTCTTAAACGTTCGGATGTAAGCTTTTTTAAACGTTGTGCTCGACAGAAAAACTAAAACGTTGCGTCCATAGCGCATTAAGAGGTTCATTTAATATTGAAGAATATAGCAACTCGAAAAACATTCAACTGACTAGCAGAATCAAGAGCTCGCTTTGCTCTGATATTTTTGTTTTTCGTAGTTGCATACAATTGTTTTGCTAGTTTGTTTAATATATAAGATATGGCCAACGCTTTTGAGTTCTGATGCAGTATATGATGAATTGACTTTAATGTATGTCGATCAAGTTGTATTCGTTTCGTGGGAAATTGAAAAGGCAACTTAAGAAATGTATTTTTCAGATACATATATATTTAAAGGAAGTTGATGTTTTTTATGTGAAATGATTTTGATAAGAAAGTTCAAGTTTATTTTGTTCACTTTAGGTCGATCGATCAAGACGTGGAGCTGGGTCTTAATGAGAAGCATGCGAGAGATGCAGTCACTAGTCGAGAAGGCATGGATGATACGACAGAACTTGACTTCCAGAATGAAGTAAGATATAGTCCATTCTTTCCCATTATAGCCCTCAAGCCAATTAGACCCGTCCGCCCGCCGTCATAGAAAAATCACAGTGTAGGAATGGTATATATATATATATATGTTTTACTCGGCTGGCGGGAAGTCTTGCAGTGCCAAAAAATGTGGCGTAAAACGAACCAAGCCCAAAAGTCAGAAAATGAATTTTGAGCGTCATAGTAGTAGATATCTTTTACTGCTGGCTTTCTTTTTGCTTTTCATTCGTTTCCTCGCTGTTTTTTCTCTTCTTCAAGTGGGATCAATATTTATCTAAAGACTTCTGATTGCATCTCTGCGTATTTTTGGTTGACGGTGGTTTGTTTGTTTAGGTGATGACATTCAACAGCAACTGTCCCTCGTGTGGGCGCCAATGTGACACAAACATGAAGTCAATCAACATCCCATTCTTCAAGGTCATTATTGTTTTATTGCACTAGCCAGCTATAGTAGGCGTTAGTGTAATTCTACGACTCTTCTTTTTTTCTAAACTAAGTCGCAAATATTGGTGCCATTTTGGCATCTTTACGGCTTTTTGATAGCATGTGCTTTGGCTTTCGAATAAAAATCTTAACACAGTTGATGCGTTTTTAATTCATCATATGAACCGAAAAAAGTTTTTTGTTTCAAACAAAATAACAATGATAAAAACCTGATTTCATAAGTTTTCTGACTCAATCTATCTCCCATTTTTTTGGAATTCGTAATTTATACATCATGTGGCTTTATGCTTTCCAATTTATTACATCGCATTGGCAATTTATTAGCATGTGTTGCTGCTATTTTGTGGCTGGTGTTTGCCGATTGTTAAGCGTTCGTGGCCGAGAGGTTAGGGCATGAGACTCCAATTCTGAAGGTAGCAAGTTCGAAGCCCTTGCGTTGCAAAATTTTACTGATTCGAGGCTTATTTCTATTTTTCCTTTTTTCACTTTATAAAGCTTCCTTGCAGTGTTCTCCCAAGTGTTTACGAAGCCCAGCTTCCTTTCTGTGTTATTCCTGTCACAAGCCTTGATAAATATTATAGAATAATTACTAAACACGCGCATTGATATACGAATTTTAGCTTCAAAGACAGTTTTTGTTCCGACCATTTGGAAAGTGGGAAGAAACTTTGTATTCGTGTGTGTGTTTTTCAAGTAAATTATTTTTCAATTTTTTTGCATCGCCTTTGAGAATTTAAAACATAAATTCAAAAAATTTAAATAGATTTTGAATTTTTTGAAATTTTGTATAATTGTTTTTCTATAAAAGTGCCTTTTTTTACTATGACTGTCGAATATGCCTAAGTTCCAGTTTTTCGTTCAGATCGTTTTACCACAAAGAGCAAACAAAACTACTTTAGTTTGCAAAAAAAAAAACCTTTTTTGTATTTTTTTGACAAAGGTCGGAACCTTCTGTGCTATTTGCACAGTAACTGGTTATCCTTGTTCAAAATATTTTCCTTCTCTTTCTAATTAAAAATTTTTAAGGAATGAGTGTTATTTGTATTTGTTTAGCCTTGCGCTTAGCAAGATTCTGGCAACCGGGTGCTCGACCTTTTTTCGTGTTAAGGCGTGTTTTCAAGGCTGACAAAAAAATGGAGTTTTTTCTGGCTTTTTTCGTCTGAACGGATGTCTACCCACTTTTTGACACTGCTTAATTACCGCTAAAAAAGTTTTAACCAATACTAATTTAACGCAAAAAATTGTTTTCTCGACTTATTTTCAAATTCTTTTCAAACTTCATGGCTAAGTTGTAAAATTGATGTACTATGAAAATTGTTTTTCGACTCAGTGTTTTTCGTCTCATCATTTTTCAACGTGCCACCCTGCTCTGCTCGGTTGTATCTCTCCGCTTCATCTCTGTGTTTGGTGGCTGAACGATCGTCTTCAAGAGTTTACAAATCCCGCTATTGTAGAAATCTCGTATGTTTTCAGCTTAAAAAATTGCTGAAATAAATCGCAAATAGATAATTCTCGCCCTTTTCATTTTTGCGCTATATGCTTTTTCTCCAATTTCATATAAGTTTTCCTTGTATCACGGAAATGTTGGCGATAAGAACGATTTTAAATGTGAAAGTAAATATCTTCTGAATAGCTATATAAGCTATTCAAAAGACATTGCTAATTGCTGTCGAAGCTCAAAAAGTCTTTTCTCAATTTTGAAAGAAATCGAATATGCTTTAATTGAGTCCAATTGAAAATACCAATGAACTCACGATATCATCGCCGAGTTTGAACAAACTCAATGTTTTACGATCGTCATGGTTTTAGGAAGTAATAATTATGGCCACGGTGTGTGACGATTGTGGCCATAAGTCTGACGAGGTCAAATCGGGAGGGGGCATTGAACCGAAGGGCGTGAAGTACACGTGTAAAGTGGAAACTGTTATCGATCTGAATCGAGACGTGTTGAAATCGGAAACATGTTCATTGTGCATTCCTGAATTGGATGTTGAATTGGAACACGGATCACTGGGTGGACGTTTCACCACAATTGAAGGTGATTAATTGTTAATGAGCGAAATAATTTTTTAGTGATATACTATAATAGGTGGCAGATTCAAACTAAATGGCTGGATCGCTCTTTGTTATACTTCGAACACTATAATTCATTTCAAAGGCCTCATTTTTTGGCAAAAGAAAAATTTGAATTGTTGAAGAGCATTTCATCTGGCAAAGTACTGTATTTACAAAAAACTATCTTAGTAGCATATACAATTGATTGAAAGTGAAATGACTGTATTATGCATAATAAATAGTTCTCAAATTCAATGCATGCACAAAGTTATCACCTATTGTAACATATCACAGAATTTTCTCTTATTAAGGTCGTATGGTTTTGTCGCTTTTTTCAGAAAGTTGTCTGAAAAATTATTTACTCTCAGTTTCATGTTCGACTCTGAGTTGTTTTTTCGAATAAGTGTATAGTTTAATTTGATACATTTTTCCTTGTGATCGAAAAAGTGGTAATGGAATGAACTGAAATTGTGCGTTTTTGGCCTTACCAATTTAAGTATCTATTTTATGTTGGATCTTACAAAACCTCTCAGTTTACTGAATGGTAAATACAAAATTAATTGCAATTTCAAAAAGTCTCGTCTTGTTTTGAATATTTTCAAATCGAGGATTGTATTTAAGGACTTGTGAACTCTTTCCTGGAGGGCGTTGATAAGTTGGCGCCGTTTGGCAGTGGGGACAGCACACAATCTTCAACTGCGTACAAGTTTGAACAATTCAAACAAAAGGCCAAGGACTTGCTTGACCTGAAAGAGCCGTTCACCATTATTCTGGATGACCCTGCTGGCAACAGTTTCATTTCGAAGATTGACGATGAAAACGATCCAGGGTTGACAGAGGAGAGATACGAAAGGTCATATGACCAGAAAGAGTTTCTAGGATTGAATGACATGGTCACTGAAAACTACGAGGAGACAACTCAAACAAATGTCGAAAATGCGGGCGATACCTGACACCGATTGAATTTAACCCTCAGAATATTTTTTGAGTCACATTGAGTGTTCGCTGAAGCGATGCAAATGGTTCTATGATGATGCTGATTTTGTTGTAATTAGAATATATTTTGAAAATTTCTTGGTTTTCGCAAGCTTCGAAAAAGATTATTGGGAAGTTTTTGGCCAAATAATTGTTGCGAAGTGGTTCGATTATGAAATAGTTAAGAAGGGCAATTTTCTATGCAACGATTTTTAAATGGTTATGCTATTTGTAAATTTGGTTGAAGTAAGGGAAAGGAAGAAACTTGTCAATTTTCTCGACCATTGTCATCCGGCATGGATCGGCTAAACTTAGATATGTATATATATTTATACATATTATTTATGTTGATTTATGTTATAAACATACATATGGCTGGTTGACCGACCTTGAGAGACCTTCTCTCAAATGACGAACGGTCAGACCATGAATTAACGTTGGTTAAAATTAGTTGTTTTATCTAGCTTCGCATCAGAATATCTGTTTATCGATCCATTCGGATTCCAGAATTAGAAGATCATACGTTGAGGTATGACAACCATATTCTAGTTTGATGTCTCTATTTCAGATTGTGAATTATGCTGAAGGCGCCTCCTCCTTTTTCAATGCTATGTTTTTTATGCAAACTACCCACACCTTCATTAATTTCTCTTCAACAGTCTAGATCAGTCATTGTTCTGAACAGACACCGGAAGCCGAAGGCGTGGCAAGACCCCTGGAACCCCTATCGTGGCAAAGGAGGCAGGTACCCTCCAGAGTACATTATTCCAGTTTTCGACCAAGAGATCCAACAATCGCTGCCTCCCGAAGTGAGAAGTCGCAAAGTGAAAGCGGCTACCATTAATGACCCGGCTACATTCTACCACAACCCAGTAGTTCAAAAATTCATAAACATGGTCTCGCAGGGGAGTAAGTATAACGGAAGAATGATAACAGAAAGGATGTTGTGTGAAATCAAAAGAATTCAGGTGGAAAAGTACTGGAAATGTGAAGATGAATTGGAAAGAGCGAAAATGGAGACGAACCCAGTCAAGATTTTCATGCAAGCAGTTGAAAATGCAAAACCTTTTGTTGGTTAGTTAGGTTTTTATTTCTATCTTTATTACCGTGTCATGAAAGTCGACTTAACAACGTTATGATTTAAGCGCGAACTTAAAACCAGAAAATTTTGAGAAAAACGGCCTTGAAGCGCCAAAAAGAGCTTCGCTCAACAAAATTACTCAGTCTGGAATGTTGGGAAATAAGAGAAACGGACTGCTTAGACAGGCCGGATAGCCGTTTATAGATCCTCTGCGAATCGCTGAAACCATAATTATTATTATCTAACAACTGTTTTTTCGCCCTTTTTCCAATCGTTGGTTGGCAAGATATGTTTTCGGCTAAGGATTGTCTCACTGCATGTATTATTCTTATTTTTACACTGCATTATGTTTATTTTTATTTAATTTGGAACGCTAGCTTAAAATTGTTACGGCTGTGGTCCGATCTTTTAAAAATTGTTTGAGTGCATGGAAACTTAATTACATTCTCGTCAGCTTAGTGTATTATTACGAACCTTCTTTTTTTCTAACCTAACTCGCAAATAAAAGTGTTCATTAAAAGTGTTCTTTTATTTGAAATATTCACTGTAGCATTGGAAATTGCATAGCATCTGTTCTCTGCTTTATTTGTGGCTATTGTTTAATCTTCTGTATACTTATAAGCTTCCGTGACTGAGTGGTTAGTGTGTGTGACTCTTAATCTCAAGATCGGGGGTTTCAATCTCAGCCGTAGCTGAATTTTTGCTAATTCTACGCTCATTTATACTTTTTCTTATTGTACTTTATAAAGCTGCTTTTTGTCGTCTTTTGCTAGTGGTTGCGCAGCGAAGCTTCGCCTGTGTGCGAAACTTTTTGTTATCTGATTAAAATTACTTCCTTTTTTGTAAAATTACTATTCGATTTAAATTCAGTAAACTGTTCGAAAAAGGACTGGAGCTTTAAAAACTGACAAATTGATTGGCTACTGATTTGATGTATTTTGGGGTTGTTCGAAAATTTGATTTTGCTTATTGTTTTAGCATTGCTCTAAAATTTTCAGGCAATGATTTTTATAGTTTTTTTTGAATAAGAAATTAGTCTAAAGCCTGTGGAATTGTTCAACTTTTGTCACTCTTGCAAAACTCTAGACTAAAACAAAATTCCAAAAGAAGCTAAACTATAACAAATGTTGCTTCAAATTTGACTCTTAGTTTTTTTAGTTTAATTTAAAAATAAAGGGAGGAAAATTCTGCTCTACAATTAACTGAGTGAAAACGGTGCTGAAAAAACAATTGTGAATGACTTTTTGTTGTATTTTTTGAACTTCCTAGCGGAGTAAAAAAAATTATCTTCTGATCTAGTACATTAATTGGCTTTTTTATCTTCTGGTATGCATAATTTGGCTTTATGCTTTCAAATTTAATGCATGCAAAGTTAGCGTGGATGCCTTCAGTTCGATATATTCCAAATTATAACCAGTCAAATTATGGCTATTTGTATTTGGTGCCTTTTTTGCTGCATAGAATTGGCATTTTATTAGCATATGTAGCTGCTTTATTCGTGACTAGTGTTTGTCAGTTGTTTAGCGTTCGTGGCCGAGCGGTCATTTCTTTTTTTCTTATATAACTTAATAGAGCTGCTTTTTTCAAGTTCCCGCGCAGCTTCGCCTCTGTGTTTACTTTTGATTTCTTCTTGCAATTGTCAAGATCTTTTGCCATTTTTGCTTGTGTTTGCGAAAAGCAGCTTCGCTTCTGTAATTTTGGAAGCTATTATCTATGTTGAGTTCTTATTTTTCCGATGAACACTTTCTGCGATTAGAATTAGCTGATGCGTTTTATTCAACCAAGTGATCTTTCTTCTCTTTTTCAGTCTAATATTTATGTTTTTTTTAGATTTTTGCTAAGGTCTATTCACATGTGTGTACCAAATAGAAGATCAGTCACATTTTGATTCAAAATTCAAAGTGACGCGAAAAAAAGGCATTTTACTTTCAAAAATGGATTTTGTTCTTTTCTCCGAGAGTTAGTTATAAATGTTACTTGTGATCGTTTTCTCAAAATAGGTTTGTTTTTATCAAAAATGGTCAACTCTATTTTTTGGCTTTCTTGTTCATTACACAAGCCAGCTTTTGCGAGCGTTCGTTTATTAGTACGAACCTTCTTTTTTGTAACCTAACCCGCAAATAAAAGTGTTCATTTGAAGTGTTCATGTATTTGGAAATTTCACTGAGACATCTGTTCTCTGCTGTTTTTGTGGCTAGTGTTTGTGATGTATTAAGCGTCCGCGGTTAATTTGTTAGTGTTCGAGACTCTAGGTCTCCGGCTCAAACCCGAGAAAAAGCCGATTTTTCACTAATTCGAGGCTTTTTCTGTTTTTTCTTATCGCTCTTTGTAGAGCTGCTTTTTTCGTGTTCTCGCTAATGTTAGCGAAGCGCAGTTTTGCCTCTGTTTTAAAACATCTGATGATTTGTTGGCTATTTTTTTTTTCAAATTTAACTTGTTCTATCTTCTTTACTCGCAATTGATACCTAGCTCTGCTTTGCCTCTTAGCTTAGTTATTTTTTGAAGCTGTGTTTGGTTGTACGAAAATTGATTGTACATCAGAGACGTTTGATAACGGGCCCTATGGTCGACTGACGTTCTCCCAGGCTTAGAAAAAAGTTGAAAATAGTACATTAATTCCATTTTTTAAAAAGCCTGAAAATATTTTAATGCTCTATTACCCTTCCAATCAGCGCGAGTTTTTAAATTGGGTTCAAGATTGTTTTCCCATTAAGAATTTTATTAACAGGACTTATCTCCCTGATCCTGGACTTATTCATATTCTGGGCCATTCTTCTGCAACAGCCATATTTTGAGCATGTTAGCGTTTTAAGTATCCGGCCTATTCGAATTTTGCTTTTTGCGTTGGTTTAAAATTTTACCAACTCAGTTTGTTCCAATTTCCTTTTTTCGGATTAATAGATTTTGGCTTATGTTATATCGTCTCAGTGGCCTTTTATTGGGTTATTTGATGAGCAAAAAATGTTTTTGTGCGCTTGTGTGTGTTCTGAGGGGTCTAAACATTTTTATTAGCTTTGAATTTTTAAACATTTTTTTTGGGCATGAAGAATTTTGATTTCGTTATTCTCGGCTTTGTTAGCGCTCTATTACGATGCACGTTTTTCATTCTATTGTGTGGGTATGTTTTTTTAGAGCTATCCCAATTCATTTGATAGATCTTGTTTTATCGCTAGTGATGCTACGCTCTGCTTTGCTTCTAGTTTTTTTAAGCTAGTGAGCGTATTGTTGTACTACGAAGAAACCAAATTGGAAGCAAATACTCTCATTTGGTGGCATTTTGCTGGTATCATTTTATCTCTGGTTTCTTTTGCTGCATAGCAAATTAGATATCTTTGTATTTGGTTTATTAGTGGTTAATGTTTGACTATTGTGAAGCGACCGTGGCGCAGATGCTAGAGCGTGTGATTATTAATCTCGAAGTCGAGGATTCAATTACGGCTCAGCAGAAATTGTTTTTTTTTGTTTTCAAAGCTTATCTTTTCCTTTCCTGTTTTCACTTCTGGGCTCTTTTAGGGCTACTTTCAATCTAAGTTCAGTTAAATCAAAGTTCAGTTAAATTTTTGAAATTCAGTTTATGATTGCTTGACAACTGATTTTATATCAGAAACGTTTTATAAACGGGCCTTATGATCAAATCGCGTTCTCTCAGGTTTTGAAATAAGTGTTATATAATACAATAATTCTGTTTTTCTTTAATAAGCTTGGAGACAATTTATTAATCCTTATTAGTATTAGTACACAAGCAAGCTAGCCTGCGTATTGTTATATTACGAGTCCCTTTTTTCAAGCCAAAAAGTCAACAAAAACGCTCAAATTTTTGATGGCTTTTTTGCTGGCATAGAACTATATCTGGTTTCTTTTGCTGCATAGCATAATATCTTTGTATCTGTAAAGCGAACATGGAGCAGAAGCTAGGACGTGTGAGTCTTAATATCGAGGTCGGGGGTTTGATTCCAGAGCATAGCAGAAATTTTTTTTCACGGCTCATTTTTACATCTGTGTTTCCTGTTTAATTTTGCCGTTTTCTCGCTGGTGTTTGCGAAATTCAGCTTTACCTTGTTGTTTTCTTAACTATTTTTATGATTGTTGTAGGTACGACAAAAGTGAACAAACTGGGCACTACTCACCACGTGCCCATTGCCTTATTCGACAACACCAAACTTTTCCTCGCTCTGCGCTGGCTCAAACTGCAGGCCAGAGAGAAGTCAGTTCGCACCAAAATGTACCAGAGTCTCGCAGGTGAGTGTGGATAGTTCTAGCACTCCTCACACTAACAACGCCCGAGTAGTCTCTTACCACCCTCTCTCTCTCTCTCTCTCTCTCTCTCTCCCTCTCTCTCTCTCTCTCTCTCTCTCTCTCCCTCTCTCTCTCTCTCTCCATCGCCAATGAATTTTGTGCTTGAACAAGATTTTGACCCGCTAAATGAAAACCACTAATCGCTATTACCAAAAAATTGTCAAGTTGCTTTTGCGTGAGTTAGTTTTGGTATAGGAAGAGTATCTAGATTTTTAAATACTAAGGTTTTAAGTTTATCTAGACATAATATATCACCCGCAGCAAAAAAAGCTACCAGTTAGCTGAAATTGGAGAATTTGTGATCTTGAGCGGAGTAATCAGGAAAAAATTGTTTTGGCAAGATAAATCAACATTTGGCTATTCCTACCTCAATAATTTATGCGTTTTTGTGGTTAAGCAAACTGTCCTCAATAGCACGATATTTTTTCTAATGTTTCTATCACAAAATGTCTTCTCCCGGTGTCTCAAATCGCAAATTTGGAGATCCATCTCAAAAGTACATGCTATACATGCACTATGCTTGTTGTATTTGAGCAAATCAGTCGGTAAAAATAGTGTCAGAGAATTAAGAGGCTTGGTTTTCCGTATAACTTATATAATGGAAATAGTTATTTTTAAGGAAAAAATGGTGGAGACAGTCAATTTTCACATATTAAGCAAGCGAAGCTCGTGTTGATAATACGAGTCCACTTTTTTAAAGGAAATCGCTCTGTGAAATTCCATTGAACAGACTTGTGCAAATTGCTTTGGCTTCATTCAGCGATAATGACCATAGTGAGGACACTTATATAGATGGTCCAGTGGTTATATACAGTGGTATACAAAACTTTTTGATCCAGTTTTCTCTAATTGGGCTAGTTTTTTGAAAAAGGGTTGGTCATTAAAAATTCTTGAAAATAAGAGCTTAATCTGATTTATTTTTTCTTCGAAATTCATTTTATTTTTTCGAAATTCAAGAATTTCACAATTCAATCATTTTTTGGCCCTACTTGAGTTCATCGACGCTTTTCCAACTGTTTGTTGGCTATGTTAATATAAGCAGCATAAATTATACCCGCTTAATGAAGAAACATTCATTACTGCCTGATATTTATTATTAAACCATGCGCGGAAGTGTGAGTTGTTAAGAATTATTGGTCGAGTCTTCGATTTGGTCGAATCGGATTGACGGCTCGATGCCTTGGCTTGGAAATTTTATTGTCCAAATCTTTTTGTAGGTTTATTTCCGTTCTTTCATGCATTTGAAATCTCCTTCTTATTGTTTTCTCGCTTGTGTTTGCAAAAGTTAACTTCGCCTCTGCGCTTAAAATATGTGATTTTATCCTTTTATTTTAACACATCAGGGTAATATTTAACGCTTTAATGAACTTCTGAATAATCATAATAATTTGAATTTACCAGTAGCAATGCGATAAATGAAAAAATTGTCTGGAGGGAACAATCGAAAGAGTAATTCTGCTCATTGAATGTGCTGTCCCTGCGAACGCAACACGCACGAATTTTACGGTAGAGTGAGAGGGCATTGTTTATTCAAGTGTTTTATGGAAAAATGGATGAGTCAACTGCGAATGCGAAGGAGAGGCGACCCGCGATTTTTTCCGGACGTCAGAAAACTACCAAATTGCTTCGAAAGTCCTTCATTCGATTTATTTTGTATGCTATTGCAGTGTCTGAGTTCTGATAGCAGCAAGATTTTAAAAGCCAAAGTTTTTTTTTTTTGGAAGTTCACGCTCATTTTTGATTTTTCGCGGTTTGACTTGTGATTTCTTTTTAAGCTCAGTGCATTTTCTTTGTTAAAAGGAAGTCAAACACCACTATCGAATAGCAAAATTGTAAAGGTCACGAAAAATGTAATCGTTTTCTAATATTGAAAATGGATATTTTTTATCAGATTTCTCAGCAAAATAAAAGCTTTACCTATTGATCCAGTTTTCTCGAATTGGGATAGTTTTATCAAAAAAGCACCAATCATAAATTATTTGTTAAATTCAAAGAGTTTCCAGGGCATACATTTTTTCTTGCAAATTCGAAGGTTGAAACTTTTTCAAAAAACAAGTCTACTTGGTTAATATATTTTTGTCTTCTCGCTGCCTAGTATGAATACGCGGTTGTCTACTTACTGCTACGTAACCGAAATTGGCCTACGTCTTTTTTGTACTAAAATTTTGAAAGTTAGACTTAATTTCGAAAGCCTATTTACTATAAAAATAGAATTCGTTTTTTTGGTATCTGCTGGTATACGTTTGATGATAGTACTCCTCAGAAGTTCGTTACAGTATATGTAATTACGCTTGCGATAAGCAAGCTTTATCAAACTGGAATATAGACTTTTTTCCGGCTAACAACTAGTTTAACAGAATCACTTGAATCATTTGATGTCTTGGTTTATAATGAATTCAAATTTTTGAGCGTCTCCGGCACACTAAGTCTGGAGGTAACGAATAAGCCTGGGACGCCAAATGTCCTGGCTTTTAAACTGACTGGACCGGTTTTTTTTCAAAATTGAAAATAGTCCGTTTCAATAAAAATTGTCGGCTGATGATAGTCTGCTTATGTTTTGTCCGCTTAATTGCCATATTGTAGTGTTTTGTTTTAAGTTTTTTCACATTGCAGTTGCTTTTAGTCTTCTGATTTCACTCTGTTTGTGCTATTTGTATTTTTACTAAACTTGACCTTGTATTAAAAACTTTATTCTGCCGAGTCGCTTCAACGGAAACACATTTTTAATGCTCATCTCTGGATTGCACAAAATGCTAAAATTCCTATAGATTTATAGTTCAAGTTTTTCATGCTAACAATTTTTTCCGACTTTTTTTCCTTTGTTCGGCTTGATAGGTTTTGGCCTATATTATATCGGCTTATTGGCCTCATATTGCATCTTTTGACGAGCTAAAAATTTTTTGTGTGTGCGTGTCTTTGTTTCGAGGTTGAGGGGGACTTTATAAATTTTCATTAGTCTTAAGTTTTCGGCTGTTTTTATCTTCATTTCTTTTGGGCTTAATAGGTTTCGGTCTATATTGTATCGGCTAAGTGGGCTCATAATGTTTCATTTGACGAGTAAATAAAGTGTTTTGAGGGCGAGGTGGACTTATTAATTTTTCAGGAGTTTGAAGTCTTGATTTTTGTTTCGACTTCTGACAAGGTTTCTGACGTGGTGTTTTCCGCTTTGTTACCGCTGGGTACATTATCTTCCGATGCTTATTACGCATTCTATTGTATTTGGCATGTTTTTGTTTCAAAACTAGCTTTATTCAGTTAATAGATCTAATTTTTTCGATCTTTCGATTTTTTTAAAACTTTTTTCTTCTGTATGACAAGTGGTGCGAAGCTCAGCTTCGCCTCTGTGTTACATTACAAAACAAAAACCCTAAGTACCTTACCGCAGTTGAAGTCATGCTGGAGGCGGCAGAGCGTTATTTAGCACAGCGAAGCGAAGTGGAGGAAGCATTCACAACTTGTCAATACCAAGTGCATTTGTTATTTTTTTTGTACTGGTCGCTAGGTTTTGCCGGTGAGTTTTTTCGCTTTTGGAGCTGTACGCAACTGTAATTTTTTTGGTTTCCTTGAGCACATAAAACTTTTTTGAATATCTGTTGGCCGTGTTTTCGTCAATGAATAACTTCAGGTCACGTGCTGCAGATGTACGAGGGGGAGGGGCCAGTGGTGGCGAAGAGGGACGACATGCACAAGTTGGCAGAGAACAACAAGGCATACATCCAGCTGCGCAAAAAACCCATAGTCTAGTTATCCATCAAAACCAGCAGTGGAATGATGAAACTCTCAATGGAAAAGTGAAAACTTACTATCGAAATTTGCAAAAAACTAAACTCAGATTTCGAATAATTGTGGGATTTGTCGAAAAAACAACCCTTCAAAAAATTTTACATTCGATGTGTTTAAATTGCTTTCTTTGAAATTGATAATATCCAGTTACTGTTGATGGTTTTATTTGACGAGACCATACGTTTATGAAGAAAAATACTCGTTTGAAAGCGCAATTCTAGTATTGAAAATTTATGCTAGTACTGAGATGATGGTGTTAATTGTAAGAAACTTTTAGCTTGCAAGTCATTGCAAGCCAAAAATTTGGGTAAGTTTTGCGAGGATTTCCACGGAGTAGATCTCTTACACAGGAGCCAGAGCTAAAGTGATGGAGTCGGATTTTCAAATGACCATTACGAGGCCAAACTGTGCTCTGGATAGGCACACAATTTAGTGTGTGTAGGTCTCTGGAATCCAGAAACAAGGCTTTAAACGTTTTAAACATTAACGGAACGATCAAAGAAAAAGAAAGAACAAAGATGCATCCTTGTTTTCGGAATCCGCTTTCAATTCACGAAAAACACAGTTTGGCCTGGAGTACGCATCAGGAAAAATGCTGCTAATTTAAGCTCAATATCCCAATTTTAACGTGTTTGGGGGAAAAAATGAAGAAAACATGCACCGGTTATTGGAAAAAAGATATTTGGAGTAAGAAGCACCAAGGTTATTTGGAAGAAAATATTTGGAGTAAAATGGTACGTGTTTAAGTATTAAGTGTGATTGAAGCGTTCAAAAATAAAATGATAACAATTCAAAGTTCATGAATCTCCAATTCTTTGTTTCAGAAACTTTCAGTGAAATTAAATTTAGGGATGCTGGTTGCATGAAACATGAGTGCATGATAAAAAAACGCGCGTGCTCTTTTCCAAACATCTAATAAAAATGAACTATACGTAGAAGTCATAATACGCCATTTTCTACCCTTTATAATTGATTTGGGCTAAATTTTCCAAACTGAATATGCCATAACACTCCACATGCTCATCTGCACATATAAAGAAAATTTCACGGTCGAGTGATTAAACATCATAGGAGTTCAATCACTGACTCACACGCCAAACTTTTTTCCTTAATAGTATGTTTAAATTATTTTAAGCTGATCGTGTGTAAACTTTCAGAAAACAGAAAAACTTGAATTTCTTCCCGCTTAATTAGCCTACTGGTGTCTTTGTTATATTTAGGAAGATGATAATAAATTTTTAAAAAATTGAAACTATCGTCTCAATAAAAACATTGCTTAATTTGTTCAGATTTAAATTAAAGTGTTTTTTTTTACCGAACTGAGATAATTGGATTAACACGTTTGAATTCTACAGCATGTCATCTGCTTCCAAAGTTTTGGCTATGAACATCGGATTTGGCTGCTTTCCGAAAGATTTTTTCCTTTCGAGAGATTTACCGAATTTTCTGTTCACGGTTCCGATTGGCATTCGGCCGAAAACTTTCTTGAAGCACAAAAGGCAGAAAAGCTCGTCCGTATTATGACTCACATAGAAATCTTGGGTACATGTTGAAATCCACGGCTTAGGGCAATCGACCACGCAGCATTTAAAACAACTCAAGTGAATGAATATCTGGCGAGTTGAATTAAATTGAGTGCCTGGAGTGTCATCGCAAGTCTGATCGGAAGATTCGGTTGACACACTTTCGGCAGTACTGGTTAGTCTGCTGTTTGAATCTTCATTTTGTGTAGCTTCAGCCAATGTCGCAGTTTTTCTCTGGTCTGCAACCCAAGTGTCAAAAACCACTGACTGTTCTGTGTCTACAAAATAAAAATGCTTTGAAAATTTAGTTATTTTATATTTTTTGGAAAAGAATTTTAACACCAGCAAAGAAAAGCAACCTTTAAGTCCCTCCCACATTTAGCTACACGGAAAAAGCCAGTATTCACAGTATGCAATGAGTTATCCTGGCGGCGTGGAATTGTTAGAAAAAGTCAAGTTAAGGAAAGTTATCACACAGAATGTTTCAATTGGCATGAACAACTTTTTTGTTTTGCTTAATTGAAAAAAGTTCAAGCCGTACATGAAACTAACTGCATACAGTGAATACTGACATTTTCAGAACCGTAATCAACTGGTACGTCATTCATACCAAATACAGATACTTTCCTAGAGAGTGTAGCTCTGTTCACCAGCTCTAAATTGATGTAAAATTTTAGTTGAAACACTCATTGTTCTTGCTGCTTGCGCTGCAGGTTTTGTCAAGGAAAAGATGAAATTCTTCTCAATAGGAACAAGACTGCTTGTATCAGAGCAAATCTCTGAACGTTCCGACTAGCCATAAATTGGTCTCGAATAAATTTTGGTTAATGAAAAGTTGACAAACTGAGCATTGAAATATCTTTTAATGAGCGTTACAATGTAATCTTTAAGTCGGGATTGTATACTGGTGAGCGCGAACGTTCTGGGACCACGAAGATCCATAGATCGATCCCCCGAGGCAAAAATTTTGAGAATTGGTCCGTATAAAAAAACCAGCCCCGAGCATATATATATATATTCCTTACTTTCTTGGTAAGTCGGAACAACAAGCATAAATACTCCGTTTTCTTTGAAAGTCTGAACAATAAAGTTCAAATCATTTTCACACATGCAAAGTTCAGTTCAAAATGATAGGTGGCCAGTAAATAAGAAGAATGGTCTAAGAGCAGAATGGGTCCAAGAGCAGAAAAATAGAAAAATATCAACTTCTATAAGCTAATCAGGAAAGTAATTATCAGAAATGTTAATAATAGCAAAGCAACGAACTTTTTATGCACAATTTGAGCAATTTTATTAAGAATTTTAAAAAAATAATTATCAAAAAACTTAATGAAATTAGTCAATTCATGCATAATTTATTCGTTTTCTTGGTATTTTTTGACAATTCTAATAATTGTTATATCAATTAGCCCGTATAAGCCAATATATGTAAACATTTTTCTGTTTTTCTGCTCTTGGACCCATTTTGCACTTGGACCATTCTGCTTATTGCTCCGCCTCCAAAATGATCATACTACATTTGGATCAATGTAACATTTGGCTACATTTGAATCAATTATGCTACATTTGCTACATTTGGATCAACTAACGCTACATTTGGATCAATTAGGTAGGTTGCATAAGCTCCATTTAGAGTTTTTCTGAGACGAAAAAATTCGCCGCTACGCCGAAATAGAAAAAAAATTTTTTCGATTGAATTACACTTGCGAACATTCACATGTTACATTCAATTAAATTGCGGACTTTCCAATTAAACACAAATTCATGTCATCATTCTCTTAATGGCCTACTTTCAAGGCTGATAAGGAAAATATTTTACTTCAAAATGACTAGAAAATTTTTATAGTCCAAAAGCAAAATCGAATTATATCACTTTTTAGTTAACACGGCGTGTGAGGGGCGGTTTTCAAAAACAAATCAAACAAAATGTTTTTCTTTGTAAATCTTAGCATTTTTTTTTGAAATGAACATTACTACTTAGACCTCAAAGGCAGTCGGAAAATTCAGGGCTTTGTCTTGATGCAAGAAGTATTATTTGTGTTTGTACAGACTTCAGTTAGTTCACCCAATATACAACATTTTTTTAATTGAATCAGTATATAGATGATAAACTGAGTTTTCCTGGGTGCCATGCTTTGCAAAAAGCCTTAAATTGAAATGTGATATTAAAGAATTAAATATTTTTTCAAGTTAATTTAAAAAGGTCTAATTTAAGAGTGTTCGAGTTTAAACCGCCTTTCAAGTTTTTTTTGTGCTGTTTGCGTGTTAGATTCTGTCATTTTTTAATTATTTTTTTTTGTTTCTAGAACTGCTTTTTGGGATTCAAGTGGTTTAAACCAACTGTCTTTTGATATGTTGTTATCAGTGAAAAATGAGGCGGGATACTCGAATTTGTAAAGAAAAATAACATAAACAAAATTACGCGCCCAGTATGAGAAAGGAGCAGACGAAGCAGTTGCGTGTAGCTTGTATGTTCTCGTAGCAGTCGGAGCAGTACCACTTGTTGTCACACGTGAACATTTCCGACGAACTGCCTTCATCCTAAACTCGCACAGTTTCCACCATTTTCAGGAATGTTTGCAAGGTTTTGTATTTGCTCTGATTATTTAAAAAAAAACAGAAGAATGTACTGATCCAATTGCGCTGCTGATTCTAGGATTTTCGCCAAATAAGCCGGGCTCTAAAATTTGTTTATAAGACTGTACAGTTTTTTGGAAAAGGAAATACCTGCTACGTGTTTCAGGCTACCACTGCCTGGGTATTGAAAGAAACAATAATTTCAAAAATTTTCTGAAGTTATCGCTAAATTCAGAAAAGTTTGGTAAAAATCGATTTAATTTACCTCTTCGCTTTCGGACTTTCTCTGATGACAGAATTCGATGTTGGAGCATGTCACACAAGAAGGGTGATAATAGTTTTGCTCTCCGTCTAAGTAGAGCTCCTTGTCTTTGTCAACCTCCTGTAAATAAATTGCGGTGAGTTGTCATAACAATAATCACAGGTCTTATAGTGGGTAATGATGGTGCCCTAGTCGAGGTGCTTGATTGATGTTTCGACTTTTTCGGCCGAACTTGCAGGTCAGATATATTTCTACTTTCTCGGCTTTCTCGACCGGAGTTTATTTGAAATTTGTATGTTAGACCCCGCATAGATGTGCTTCGACTTTGTCTTTTGATGGGTATGCTTTGACCGTCTCGATTTTAGCGTCAACAAAAATTTTTCGACCCAACTCAGGTATGTTTCAACCGGCGTGACTTAAAATGAGCTATGTATTGGTTTTTTGACCTTCCATATACAGCGCTGATTTAAATTAACCGGACAAAACGCAATAAACTTGAATTTTAAAACAAATTTTTCTCAAATTGGGTTGAGTTTAGGTGAAAACTTATGAGGACAAAACCTTTTTAAAATTTTGGCAGAACTAATATGGTGTAATTTGTTTTGCGAAACTCGGACCCAAAATTTCAAATTTTAACCCAAAAATGGGTCATTTTGGCTTTTTTTAGTTAATAAAAATTACGCCAAAAATACCCAGACATAATTATATCAAAGTAAGCCTCTTACGTAGCCCAACAAACTTTAAGAAGGATATATTTTGCAAAACATTGTGTAAATTAAATTCTTTTTGTTGGATACACAAAAATGTCGTTTTTACCATATAAAATACCAACTTTTTATTTAAAAACAATTTTTAAACGGTTTGCAATTTTTTTTGGAGAATATACCCTTCTTAGAGTTTGTTGGGCCACGTAAGGGGCTTACTTTGATACAATTATGTCTGTGATCGACTGGGTACTTTTGGCGTAATTTTTGATTAACTAAAAAAGCCAAAATGACCCATTTTTGGGGAGAAATTCTGAAATTCAGGGTCCGAATTACGCAAAACAAATTACACCATGATAATTTTGCTAAAATTTTAAGCAAATTTGTCGTCATAAGTTTTCACCTAAACTCAACCTTTTTTGAGAAAAATGCATTTTAAATTTCAAGTTTAACGCCTTTGAAGCGAGCGAGCAGGCTTACTACAGCTTATTTATGCCTAATCTAAGCCCTGAGATCTTAGTTTTGAGCAATTTTGAGTTTTTAGACGCGGTTTTGAGAACCTGAAATTCAAAGAAAAAATCAAATTTTTCTGAAAAAAAGTTGAAAAAAAAAACATTTTGAAATTTTTGAAATTTTTTTCATTTGTTTAAGGTAATATGTCTACAAAAACTGTTTTCCAACTGATTTAGTTCACTATGATTGTCAAATATGTTTAGATTCTATTTTTCGTTCGGATTTTTTTTATCAAACCACGCAGAAAAAACTACACTAATTTGAAAAAAAAAAAATTTTTTGTATTTTTGAAGACCATAGTCGGAACATTCTGTCCTAATTGCACAGTAACCGGCTATCCTTGTTTTGTTTTAAATTTTATCTAGATTTTAAAGTTTGTGCTACAGTTTAGATTCCGAGGTTTTTGTTAAAAACTTCAGTTATTCATGACATAAGCGTTTCATGCTTCACGTTTCACGTTTTTTTTTCACACTTGGTAAAGAACAGAGAAATAATTTAATTTGCCACTCATGCTTCATTAAGACCAACTATATCGATTGCATCTTCATTATCCTAAATTGGCAAAATTGGCAGTTTCAAACCCCCATATATCTTGTTCCGACTTTCTCAACGAAAGTAACTGAATGTTTGTGCTCGGTTGGTTTTTCTTCCAGCAAACTTCGAATTTTTATCTAACCATTTTTTACGGATTTTTTTTCTTATCATTCAAAAAGTATTGTAACCTTGAGCTTAAATTTGAAAAGATATTCTACTTGTTTTAAAGGAGTTTTAAAGGTTTCCATTTTGGATAACTTTGCGCTATTAACGCGTAAGCGGAGATTTAATCCGTCTTGAAAATCGTTCCAAATTGGCTGAAGGAAGCTTATTTGCCATAATTGATTTGTTACTAGGAGCAAAATCTATCACAATACACTTCAAATGGTGTGTGGGGGATGATTTTCACAAAAACCTAAAATTGAAAAAAATGTAGTTTTATTTTAGTACCTTTAATTTTTTCATGTTTTTAATGCTCGATAGACCCTAATAGGTAGTCGGATCTTTTAAGGCATCGCCCTGATACGAGCAGTTTTGTTCAAATGTGAGCTCAGGACATCAAAGCCGGTCAGATAATGTACGAAACACGTAAAAGTGGCTAGTTAAAAACTCGAAATTAGTCTGGATAAAAAAACTCCTCGCACAATTGTTCTGTCAAAACGTTCGAAAGTCAGAACACTAATTCAAAATACGCACTTTTATGCAAAAGATACGCGATTTGAGAAAACAAAATGTTTTTGAAAAAAGTTACCTTGAAGCAACTTGCACACAGTTTGAAATCCATTCCTCCAGCAGAGAAAAAAAGGTAATTTTAGTTTTCGTAGAACTCAAAATTCAAAGCAATGAATAAGTTATCAAAAACAATAGGATTGTCGAAGTTTAATTGAGTAAGGCATGCCAAGTGTTTTATTGATTTGACGTGGAGTTACACCAAGTAAAGGCAGATCGCTTGAAATATTCTGTTTGCAAAGATCACACAGCAGTGGCCGTTCTAACAAACTGTAGATGCAAACCGAAATAGTATGACTCAGAAATGGTCAAATGGTGGCATATAATTTCACAGTTCTCTTCAGATATAACATGATTTACTTACTTTGCGATGTTGGTATAAGTTTCTTTTCATTGAGAGAGCTCTTAGTAGGAACTCCAAAAACGAGGAAAATTTCACCGGTTTTTTTTCCTTTCTAGTGTTTTCGAGTGTTTTCCACCTCATCATTCCGACTATTTTCCTCAAAATAAGAAAAAGGTTTAGAACTCCATTTTTATCATTTTGTTATATATTGTTGGCCGCTTTATAGTTCCGACCATTCCGCAAAATGATAGCCATTAAAATTTTTGGCAGCTAATCCGTTTTTTTCTGATCGTTTTTCGATCAAACCATTTCATCCATATAAATTTTTCTAACATCCAAAACTTGTCACTTATCGTTTAACGGCTGTCTCAGTTTGGTTTGATGATTCACCTGCCATGTCCTGCTTTCAAACACTTCAATCCTACCCATGGATAGTTACTTGTCCTCTCAATAAGGATCAACTTACTTTTCTGCTTTTGCAACGGATCACTTCAGACTTGCTTTTGCAACGTTGCGGTTTGTCAGCGTAAAATAGAGCTTAAAAAATCTTTTCGATGACACTTCACCTAATGTAGTTGTACGGCTAGAAGTAACAAGCATTTAATCAATCTAATACCCATAAAGTCTGAATCATAGACTTGATAGTTTGAACGGAAAAAGTATAATACCACAGAAAAATTATAACGACAAACAATATTTGTTAAAGAAATGAGCAAAAATTATAAAGTTTTTGTTAACCCTACAGAGATCGCTTTCCAATCAATGCATTCAGCCTATAACAATATACAGTGCTGATTTAAATTATCCGGACAAAATGAACAAAACTTGAATTTTCACACGCGTTTTTCTCAAAATGGGTTAAAATTAGACAAAAAATGAAGAGAACAAAAGGTGCTTAGAATTTCATCAGAATTAAAATGGTGCAGTTTTTTCTCCGACATTCTCAACCAAAATTTTACCCCAAAAATGGGTCATTTTGGCTTTTTTTTCAATTAGTCAAAAATTACGCTGAAACTACTTTGTTAATTGATAAGAAAACTATATCACAGGAAGCCTCATAATCAGCCCAACAAAGTTCAAGAAAGATTTTATCTCCGAAAACCAGTATCAGAGAAATAATATTTACTTGATAGTCAATAAATGTGATTTTTACTATATAAAACCCAGAATCTCTGTTTAAAAACTAATTTTAAACAATTTGCGCATATTTTTGGAGATTTACCCATTCTTAAATTTTGTTAAGCTGTGTAAGAAGCTTCTTATGACATAATTTTCTTATCAATTAACAAAGTAGTGTCAGCGTAATTTTTGATTAATTGGAAAAAGCCAAAATGACCCATTTTTGGGGTAAAATTTTGGTTGAGAATTTTGGAGAAAAAATTATTAAAATATTAGTTCTCTTCATTTTTGTCTAATCTTAACCCAATTTTAGAAAAACGTGTTTGAAAACTCAAGTTTTGTTCGTTTTGTCCAGATAAGTTAAATCAGCACTGTATATCAAACTTTTATTCACACGTTCTTCTGAGTGCCTGGGTTGACGAAAAAATGCTAGTCATAGTATTTCCATACAGTTTCCTATTTAGTTCATACGTTTAAAAAGTATAAAAACTCTATGAGTAGCTTTTTTCCATACTATGGAGCTGTGTGTTTAGCGTTTTCCCATAATGAATTTGTATGGCCATAATTGGGAACTGTATGACTAGCATTTTTCAAATCCTTAATAATGGTACAAACCAGTTATCGTGAAATCTCAGAACTGAAGGGAAAAATCAGAGAAAACTAAGAGTTAGTGTTTTCTACAGGAAACTCTTTACGGCTCAGGAGAAAGCGATGACCTATTTTTTTGAGATATGAGGACATTTATTTGCCTATTTAGTACACTAAAAATTACAAAAAAAAACCAATTTAATTAAGATGAAGAGGGCAAAATATAATGTGGTTCCTGCGAACGCAGAGGAGCTATTAGTAGGCCTCAACATGCCTGTCGAAGGATTGTCCATTTGTATTATCTCCCCACATTCCAGACTGTGTTATTTTATTGAGCAAGGCTCTTTTTTGTGACAAAAGCCGTTTTTTTGCGTGTAGAACTTTCACGTAACACCACTGTTCCAGCCGAAATTGGTCAGGCTGTTTACCTGAAGCTAGATGTCAAGTGAGAGCTCGTCCTCCGACACTATCAATGCCATGGCATGGGATCGAATACACAATCTGACAATTTCAAAGTGAACGCCTTACCGCTAAGTGCCTTAAAATACTACAATACGGCAGTCTGATCTCTCTGCTTTTTGAAAAACAACCGGCTGGCTATACTTGATACAGATACTATTGAATTATCATTTGAAAATAACCGAAATAATTGAATTAAATAAAAAAGAAAACTTGTGCTTATAGAGGTTCTGCTTTCATGTAGGTCATAGCATAGTAGCCTAATAACATATTTTCATATGTCGGTCAATCATATAAAAATTTTTGTGGCGGTCATTTCATTGACTAAAACTCTTTTCTATTTAAAAATTCTTACCAAAAATTTAGTGATGTCTTACATTTTGTATGGGTTGCTAAATTTATTTCTAAGCGTTGAGTTGCATTCACTGAACCCAGAATTCAGGTTAAACCAAAATTACATCCCAGAAAAACAAACTTTGAATTTCAAATATTACGCAAGAGACCTAAAAATTTTAGCGACCACTTCGATTCACGTGAAAAAGGTCGATGAACAGAATTGGAACAAACTAACCATTCATGCCTTCGACCTGTCAATCAAAAAAGTTCAAACTAGAACACTCGAGGGGGACGAAATCGCGTGTACTTTCAAACTGGTCAACAAATACGAAACTTTGGAAATAAGTTTGAAAAGCAACGAGACACGTCATGAATATCTAGTGATTTTCATTGAGTACGAAATCAACATCGAAAAAAGTAAAAACCACGGTATTTATTCGCCTTATACATGGCATAGCAATGACAGGAATAATTACGAATATGAGTTGGTAACATTCCTTCAACCCGCTTTCGCTAGAACAGTTTTTCCAACATTTGATGAACCCATTTTCAGGCTCAAGTTTTCCTTGAATCTCGAAATTTACCAGGATCCAGACCAAAAATTGGGACTTGTTTTATTCAATTCTGCGATGAAAGAAAACAGCACAAATAATAAAAGTGGTGTTCGGAATTATATTTTCAAAGAAACTGTACCAATACCAGCATATTTAGTTGCAATTGCCGTTTTAAACCCCGAACATTACCCAAAAGCAACCGAGTTTAACTATTTTGAGATCCCTATTAGAGTTTTTGCTTTGTCGTACTATTACGAAAGCTGGTTTCAGAACAACCAGAAATCTGTTGAAAAACTAATTCAAATAATTCAATTCACAATTTCTTTCTGTGAGATTCGTTTTGAAGTGCAGTGGAAAACATCGGAGAAAATTGACTTTGTTGTTACAGAAATGCCTGGAAAAATTGGAGCAATGGAGCAACCCGGGTTGATAACTTTTAACCCAGATGTGATGGGCAATGGGTATCCACCTCACCCATCAGAATGGTATGAACCAATGTATGTCACAATTATCCATGAAATAGTCCATCAATGGACCGGTGGTTTACTAACTAACAATTGGTGGGACAGTTTTTGGCTGAATGAAGGCTTCACGACTTTTCTGCAATCTGAAATAACACGTGAACTTATCAAATTTCGTAGGTTGTCTCGAACTGCAAACAATGTAAAATTATTTCACGATCTCCAAAATTACCCCGTGAAAGAGAAAATCACTTCGGCACTTGCTAAAAACAAATTCGATTTTAGAGGTTTCACTGAAATATTTTACGACAAAGCGGGAAAAGCTGCCTCTTTACTAAATGCAGCAATGGGAAACAATTTGATGGCATGTCTGGGTATTGTCTTCAGGAAGTATCCTTTCAGCTCTTTTAATTCAAAATTTGTGATGAATCAGTTAACCGACTGTCCGTATGCGACTGTGAACGTAACCGAATTCATGAGGTATTGGCTATTCGGCGCCAAAATTCCAATTCTAAGAATCGAGATAAGCTCTCAGGAAGCAACTTTCAGTTACGACTTTTTATGCAGTTTGGTTGAAATTCAAAATGGTTCTTGCAATCAAGAAACTCCAAAGTTTGACCCTCATTTTGCGTTAAATTTTCGAGATACCGAAAACAACTTGCTGCAAAACTCGATTTTATTGACTAAAAATAACTCGAAATCTATTTTAACATTCGATATCAAAATCCATCCACTCTTTTTTGTTAATGCTTACGACCAAGGTAACTTTATCGTTGCATACCCCGACAACAATTACGAAGAATTTTTCAAATGGTTCCGAGAAAAAATTGTCGCCAAAAACATCAATTTGCCGCCTTTCTACAAAGTTTTTGTTATGGACTTGTTTGAACTTTCAAAACAAAATGCGACTAATTTAAAATGGTTGTTTGAGATTATGGAAGAAAAGGACAATTTATACGACGCTGAAGTTCTGGATTACGATTCTTTAAGAGGGTTTGAAATATGCTTGGAAAACGAATTTTTCCCAAAAATGACTAGTGCCAATAAAGATGATGAACTTTGGCAGTTTTCGTGCAAGTGGAATCCTTCTTTCTTTTCTGATTGCATGACAAAAATCGAGTACCTGCTTGATTTCAGGAGCAGTTATGTAACTAAAGATTGCAAGACATGGGTTGAAATGTTCGGTCCGGCTTTCAAAAATATTTTAATTGATTATATCAAATAAAACTGGACTTATAGGCTGTTCCCACTTTCGTAACGAAAGTAACGGAATATTTGTGCTCGGGGTGGGTTTTTTTTCTTCAGACACATTTCGACTTTTTGACTAGCCATTTTTGACGGAGTTTCTTGTATCATTCAAGAAAGGTATTGCTGTCCTGAGCCTAATTTCGAAAAGATAATTCACCTGTG